TATCTGTATTTAACAAATTCATGTCCCTTAAGGACCGTTATTCATGATTTGTGACTCAGCAAGTGCCCTAAACAGAGGAAGTCATCCCTGAATAAAACAACATTCTCAATATTTCTGGGGGATGATTGCCTCTGTTTAGGGCACTTGCTGAGGGCCGAATCATGACGGATACAGCTTACGCAAAAAGCAATAGAGGTGGACTTCTGTGAGGTATTATTCTGTGCTTAAGGGCATGAAGCGATAAAATATTTATTTGTATGCCAATAATTCCTTTATTATAATTATAGAAGGCATTGAGAAAACGAAAAATACACAGTGAGATGTCCATAATCTTCACTAGTGAAGATGTAGGTCACGTGATAATTTCCCACGAATAAATTTGTTTCCAAAATGGCAACGCTGGTCCGCAGCGAACCAATTTTTGTCTTTATTCAATGAAAAAACATGTTTCTGTCCAGAAAACATTATACTGACAAGAAAACACTAAAATGATGCCAAGGTATTATTTGAATTTGGACAATAATTATTATGGGATTGATTTGTTGAAAAGTCCAGCACTATCGATCAAAAGTTAATATTGCCGACTGGGCTTTACGACTATATAATAAAAAGAAAATTACACAGAACGGTTTAATTCAATTTCATTTTCTCAGTTGGACTTTGTATCTCAGGTATTCTTTGATACCAATACTTTCCTTGAAAGTTGCGGACTCGCAAACTCGCAAGCTATACGAACTCCAATCTTATAGCAGTCAGCAACCGATGACTTAAAATAATGGGGATAATTTAAACATTGTTATTATTAATAATATTGGTGGATTTGGGAAAAAAACATTATCTACGTCCACCACTTATACAAAGATAACGAGTTGTTTATTAACTATATGCAATAACTCACTATCAAATTTCCCTGCATTAAACTATAAGTCAAAACGAAATTATACTTTCTTCCCAAATTAAATTATTATATATGTCGTCTTATTTTATACAAGTTTGCATGCACGTGCAAACATATATGGAAACTGGTGGCAAATCTGAGACTGAATTGACATATTGAGCTACACATGAGCAAATCCGTTCGCAAATTTAAGGCAAATCTATACTATTAGCCAGATGTTTGCAAACGTGCATGCAAAGCATTAAACGAAATTTCGAACTTGCTCAAGTGCAAATTCACGTCCAAACAAATCCATGTATTTCCAAAGGGTTTGCTACCGTGCAAACCTATCCACAATCTTTTAGATTTTCTCACATGCCAACTTGTACGAAAACTGGTGGCAAATCTGGAAATGAATTGGCATATTAAACTTTACATAAGCAAATCCGTTCGCAAAGTTTTCGACAAATCCATGTATTTCCAAAGGGTTTGCTACCGTGCAAACTTATCCACAATCTTTTAGATTTTCTCACGTGCCAACTTGTACGCAAACTCGTGGCAAATATGTAAATGAATTTACATATTTAGGTTTATATAAGCAAATCCGTTTGCAAATTTGGGGGATATATGTAACCTGTCAACTCTTTGCTAGTGTGCAAACCAAAACAAACGTGTAAATATATATGCAAACCGGCTGCAAATTTAATGGTGGTCAAACCAGTATTTACACGTTTGCAAATCAATCTGCAAATTTGATCATTAGATTTGCTACAGGTTTGCTTGTGCGCCAATTCTTCGCAAATTTGGTTCTAAATTTGCTCGCGTGCAAACTTGGTGACAACTGGTGAGCAAATTTGATGATTGCCAATGTGATATTTGCATGCGTGCAAATTTACTGCAAATTTAGTCATCAAATTTGCTAACTGTTTTGCACGCCTGCAAATTTTTGCCAAATCTAATTTTTCGCCCCGTGTGTATTCTAAGGTAGAAATAGTATAAAACTGACGTAAATTACTTCTAACAACACTATCCTCTAATAATTCTAAAAACCTATTTAAATATATAATATAATTTTTACACACTAATATATGCTGTAAAATATTTTTTTTTAATTTTCCATTATAATAATTCACTTTATGTTTATACGGCAATAACCCTGCTACACCCTGCTTTTCCGATTTGTCAATTACATATGTTCTATATTGTAAACGGTCTTCAAAAGTACTAAGCGCATAAATCATTTCGCGCTTATAAGAAAAAATCCCATTCTCCAGAGCATTGTCCAACCGCTTTAATCCACAATGAATCGTAACATCGACATACACTTCATGTGTTGACTTGTTGCATGCTCCCGCCCCAACATGAAAATATGTTTTATCACAAACGTATTTTGTGTCAATTTTCAACTTTGACATTGTACTACAGCCACATCGTCTTTATACAAAATCTGGCGGCAGCAAAAATCAAAGGGCATCAACACAAAATACTCCTTGGCATCAATTTCTCTTATCGCCAGCCGTTTTACCCATTCCCTCGGCACTTCGTAAAATGTCCTTTCACCATATTTATTTTTGCATAGAACTATAGCAACGTACGCGTTTGAACTGTCAACGTTTGTTTTATCAATACAAATAAATCGCAAACGTCCTCAATATTACCACCAATCCACACGTTACTCGCTTTGAAATAATCCCGTATTATAATCTCTTTATCCTTATCTGGTTTTAACCATCGCAATTGCCTACACGTATAATAAAGCCTCCAAAGTATTGGGTGATATTCGTAATTATTCAACAAACATTTAAAAGCCTCCAAATATAAATTAATTGTTTGCATCATATTGTCTTAACTCCTCAACATATCTACTAAACAGTTCCACTTCATGACCCGAACAATGATACACGTTTTTTTTTCAAATGATGTCCGCAATCACGCTGTGCAACACCATATTGGGATAATAACGTCTTATATTTCGGGCATCTTAATACCTCAAGATTTATTCCTTTAACCGACAAACCTTTTAGTAAATCACATTCTATTGTACCGCCTTTGTAACCCACCAATTTAGCACTTTGAAACAAATCGTGTAAAATACACATCACTTCATCGTATAAAAAAAGTATCTGCTTTACGATACCGAACAACGGGTAGCCCATGAATTTTTCCTATTTGATATCAGATACTTTTGGCGTTTTCATCAAAAACATTCGGATTTGGGGTGTAAATATGATACGTGTAACCTTTACTCTGGGATATACACCATATGGACACTTCGCGTAAATAATTTTTTTTAATATACCCATATGCCTCGCAATCAATAACGTGTGTAATATCATTAGCAATATTCATATGATTTCTATCTATTATACTTTGTTCGTATAAAGACAATTGATTGTGTTGCTTTTGAAATAGTTTCTCCATGCTTCATATAAAAAAATGTCGGAACATCTAACAACGACATAGTCTGCACATGTGTCTGTGACAATGAACTATATGGGTTAAAGAGTGTGTGTAACTGTCAATGTTTACTTTGTCAAATTATCCTCGAGTTAGACAAAGAAAAAGAAAAAACCACCATTCAACAATATTGCTGTATATGTAAAGCATCTATTATTTAAAAAAATCTACCACACGTTTACAGGTACAAAATATTTCACACTGTACAGAACATGTACAAAGTCTATAAATAAAATCCATATTCTCAATCATTCTCGCGTAATACTATTTACAAAATCCGGGACATCCCATAACATCATATTTATAATCTATTTGTTCAACAATATTATTTATAAATGTTTTATCAAAGCATTTATTGCTGTTACTCTCTACACTGTCTGTTATTTGTGTTACGAAACACAACATTATGTATTGTAGTGTAAAAGTTTATCAATGCATTAGCAAATTGTCTTGAAAACAAAAGTCCAGTTGATTTCAATGTTTGTTATATTTTTTCCTGTAAAGTCACGCCACCAACCATTGCTGTATTTCTAAATATTCCATCTACAAAACAATAAATACATCAACATAAAACAGATGGGGCTAAAATAGATCCTTCTGTCACTTCCACTTTCATAGTCATTTTGTCGCTCGTTATTCTTGGACAACATACAACGTTTATTCTTCGATCCCCTTCATGTTCTGTGCGTAAAACAAAAAAACCCCGGCTGGGGTTTCTATCCAGATACACATAACTACAATCTTGGCCAAAAGTTCGTAGAACGACAAAACAAATTCGCAACTTTTTAATATACTTGGGTTTTAAAATCATTTTGCACCTCCCCCCGCTCCCCCCATTCAATGTTGCTCTCCCACATTTCTAGTACACGTACAATTTTGTTGTAGAGTAGGTCAGATCATAAATATACACGAAACGGCAACATTGAATGGGGGGAAGGGGGGAGGCCTTAAAAATGCATAAAAATTTATCGTCGTCCTACGGTTTATGGCCAAGATTGTATGTACTCTTGCATATATACAATCTCTCAAAAATATATTGACGGGCAATGTGTGTCGTCTTTTCCCTAGTAAATCTAATATTTCACGATTTTCGCTATTCCAGCAACCATACAATGCCATATCTATAAATCTGTTCTTGTTATAGAGTACCTTTCAAATAACACCCTTTCAACAATTTTTGCACATATTGTTACACATTTTTCAGTTGGGCATAAAAACATAAAAAATATATATGTTAAAAAAATTAACATTACGCCAATTAGACAACTTTTCCCATTTGCCATAACTTTCCTACTAAAACAGACTATAATCGTTATTATCCTTATATGTATATTTGGGCAAAAATATTTTGTTACTCGAACAACAACACGAACTGTCGACATCGTTATTATCCTTATATGGATAATTCAATTTCCTTTGATCAAAATATTTTGTTACCCTAACAACAACACGAACTGTCGACGTCGTTATTATCCTTATATGGATAATTTAATTTCCTTTGATCAAAATATTTTGTTACCCTAACAACAACAACAAGCGTCTATTTTCCTTATTTGGGTAAATAAGACAGTATTTTGTAATCGGCAATACCCTAATATGGGTATTTGCGCACTATTTTGCAGCATTATTTTTATATCTTAGTTTATTCGCAATTCTCACCGTCAATATGAGTGGAACAGAATTTTTTAACTTTGTAGAATTATGTGGCGTCAAACTTGAGGATGAAAATATACAAATTTACACGGATTTGTATGTTAGCTTCACGCAATTTAAAAAAACGTCAACATATAAACAAAATTTTGAACGTGCTTTTATAGAATGGAAAAGACTTGGGGAAAAATCGGTTCAAGACACCCAGACGACGTTATTGGACAACCACTACCATCTACCCTCACAACTACAGAAAATTCACAATAAAGATCCGACCTGTTTTACCAACTACACGTTACACTCACCTGCAAAACAAGCACTGCAAAATCTTACCGTCGACAACGTTGAAAATAGCCTAAACCCTACAACAGCCAGTGTTGAAATTGACGTGCTAGGTGAGTGTGATGATTTACTACAAAATCTAATGTGCCAGCAACCACAACAAGATAATATAAATACAGATGAATTGGTTACTATAAACGCTGACGACATTTGTACCGCATCACCACTTTTAGCCAGTAAAACTGTATCTGTGTCCGGTTCGCCACCAACACACCAACGCCAAGGTAAAAATATGGAACAAATTAAAGCCCTATACGACGAGCAACACCTTGAAAAACCTCAAAACCTTAAACCTATTCCTAAAACCCGAAAACGTAAGCATACCCCTGATGCTGATGATTGCAGTCCCGGTCCTGGCCGTCCCACACACAAAACCGCTCTTCTAAAAACCGCTAATGGTACGGATGAAGAAGATGCGTATATAAGCAAATTTGAAAGCAGAGAACTGATTTTGCTAACCAGCGTAGGTCTTGAAAGAAAAAAAAGAACAATACTAACAAAATACGGTAGCAATATAAAATGTAGTGCAAGTAAGCACTATAATTCTTAGAAGACAAGCCTTAGATAAAATAAAAGAACAGCGTGAAGTGCTAAATAGTCTTAATCCACTAGAATTCTTCATAGAAAAGGATATTAAAAATAGCGATAGCAATTAAAATTTGCTCAATATTTGTATATACATATAGTTTTAAATGTTGATTTTTGTTAATACTTGTTAATATTTGTTAATAATTGTTTATTTTTATTAATTTTATGAAAAATTGTTGCTTTTTAGTGTGAAGTTTCACTTCACACTATTGTGATGGCTGGCGAATTCACACGAATCAGTCAAACAGTCAGTCAGTCAGTCAGTCATAGAGTAAACTTTCTGGGGGGTGTATATGATTTATGTTCGTAGTGATTTATTGTACTTAGTCAGTACTTTGAAGGTTATTTAGGCAATTTCAGTTAACTTATTTACATATTCTGTTATCCTTTTGCCAAGTTCACAAAAATTTCGAGGAATCGCTTTCGTTATTGTAATTTTTTGTAAATTTTAGAACATTCGCTTCTCATGTTGTGTAAAGGATCTTTACCCCGGAACACCCGATTTTTCTTTAGTAGCGCAAATGCGCATGCGCTATCAAGCCGTAGATCACGATGGCGTGACGATATGCTAGGAAGGGGTGACAGTGTTGTTTTCAGATGTATAAAGATTTCAGACGTGAATATTGAGTAAATCTTTGAAAATCTACGCAATATATAAATTGATCTTATGCATTACGGGCATTCAATTAAGTGCCGATAATATTTAGACGGTATATTCATTATACAGAGCTAGGAAGGAGCTAGACCGCCTAGACAGTGCAGTTGAGTGTATAAACATTTCAGACGTAAATATTGAGTTGAAAATCTTGTTTCTAGGCATTCAATTGAGTGCCGATATTATTTTTTCACGGCATACTCATTATACAGAGGTACAGTACGTGCAGGCAGAAGCGAGACAGTGTTGTTTTCAAGTATATAAAGATTTCAGACGTGAATATTGAGTAAATCTTTGAAAATCTACGCAATAATAGTAATACAATATACAAATTGATGTTATGCATTACCGTCGATATTATTTAGACCGTATAAGTACATTCTCATTGACTGTATAAGGTGCTACATCACAGAATAGATGGCTATACTCAGTACAAAGAGCGAAAAATTGCATCAGATTTGTATCAGATCAATAAAGCATAAACAACTATTAAACAGAAGCGGGTAAACGTTTGTATGGCGTTTACGAAGAAAAAACCTTATGAGACTAAAGGAATCAGTCGAGTCAGAGCTCCTTGTATAAATATTAAAGAAAGACGAGGAGATAGCCAACGTGTTATCGCTAATCGCTTAATTGGCTCGCCAACAAGCTTTATGCAATAGAAGAAAAAAGCAAGGAGGTACATGTAGCCAATGTGTACATTCACGGACCTTGCCCTTGTCTTTGTTTACTTCTAGTGTCTAGCACAACGCCGTTGTCAACGGTGCAAACTCGTATTCAGTGCAACGATAACTCTACCAGATCTTACGAGAATCAATCTGTAGTATTCTGTACACAGAACTGTATCAAAGCTTGTCAAAAATGTTTTAAACACTGCTATAACTGTGAAACTATTGAAATCTAAAGTGATATTTATATTCAACACATGCGAAAAGCTGAAAATAGACACACGTCACACTGGGAAAAGTCAAAGGTCAATGAAACTTGTTATTGTGAAACATGTCACAATTAAGTTAAAATGCAGAAGCGGATGGGGCGGATCCACGGAACGGATATGCGGATAAAATACGGAATGGATGAGGATAAAATGCGTCTTTTAATGATGTAACGACGTAGTGCTTATTATTCACAACATATCTTATACAGCCATTTCAATTATAGTTTATTAGATAAATTTAGCATAGCAGTAACCTCGTGGGGATGCTTTCAGCGACAGCTGCAAATGAAAATTTAGAATATGCAAAATTTGGTTGTTGGTGACACAATAAATAGATGAATTGCATCAGTTTCACAAGGCATGTTTCTGATGTGTTAGGCTTGTTTCAAACGTCACGCTACTTGTATGCCGAGCGTATTAAAAGCAATAAATAATGAGATGAAATGCCTTTGGTAACTGTTTATTTCGTAGTGTAAACCATCAAGCTTTTCTAGGTTGTCGGCGACCCTATATAGTTCTTGCAGTGCCTTTTTAAATTTGAAACTTCACACTATCCTTGGATCCCTAGTATTACTTTTTTATTTATGTTGTTTAATTATTAACCAGAAACTAGAAAAACCGGAAACACGTCACCCGCAAGTGAATCAGTTCGGTTCACTCCAGTCTCCAGTCCGAAATTTCATGAGTCCAGGTTGATGAATCCGGTCTTTTTTTGTCCTGTGTCAATCAAGATACACATACTAACAACTGCACTGTGATTTCTGGATTTCAGACTGGGACTGGAGTATGAACGGAACCGCAAACCGGAAACACGTTACAAGCGCCGCCCCCCTCTTCTCTTATATTACCCGCGCCAAATTCGAAATCGAATCAGTTTGGTCGACCAGGACTCTCCGTCATGCATGCGCACTTGCGCCAATGCGCCACGACTTCGCTTTTCAAAGCAGGAGCCAACGCCCATCAAAACAACCGCCCATCAAAACAACCCCCCGTCCGTGGACACGATTTTTTCACTTTTTTTTGCTGACTCATCATTTCTTATAATACAATCTTATAGTAAATTGCAAAAATTTCCCACACCCCCACTAAAAAAAATCAGTTTTTCTTAGTATACTACTTACAGTGGTAATATTAACTTCTTAATAATTGAATGCAAGGTCGGTACAGACAAATATTGGACCAAGGTCTTTTTTATATGGTATTTCAATTAAGTTTCTTCCCAAGCAAAGCGGAAAAGTTGAATACGAGCGCGAAAGGCTTGCTGTGATTCACTCAAATTTAATGAATTTTTTAGTGATTCCCAGCAAGCCTTTCATGCTCGTATTTGACTTTTCCGCTTTGTTCAGGAAAGAAATTGTATATATATACAATATTTCTCTGTATAGACTGAGCAAGTGAAATTAATAAAATGTTTATTAGCCTACATGGCATTTATACTTTAAAGAAACAACAAATGAATGATTTAAAATGCATATAATAATAGTGTGGTACACATTTGGTCAAAGAAAACAAAAAATACATATTCCTTCTTTTCCACTAAAAACCATTCGCACATATCTTATTAATAACAAATTAAATTATAATTTTCAATTACTGTACCTTTGCTGTTTTATTGGGAAAATAATGGACTGCTGAAAGTGCTTCTCAGCCAATCACAGTCCGCCATTTCATCGGAAGTGATGCTTGCCATATAATAATACATAATAATTATGTTTGTTTTCTGTATTTTAGAATCTAGCAATAACAGAGTGTTGAAACAAAAGTGTCAGAAAGGTTTGTAATATTCAAATGTATTTATGTATTAATTCTAAACCTTTTATCGTATAAAATTTAAGCAGTATACTTTCATGGGGTATACATTCACACATACTGTAGACGGATTTTCATATTTTCTACTGGGGTAGTGCCAGAAATTTTAGGGGGGTGAGCCGTGAGCAGGTGACTGAAGCAACACAAAGTGTCACCAAACCCCAATAAGGTTTATATTGTAGGGATGGAGCAGTAGAGCTGCAAGGGAGAGTCTAGAGAGCAAAAACCAAAGTATCCCAGGAAACATTTGAAAAGAATCATGATTTGTAGCTTCGAAAAAAAGTTTTTTGAAGTTGTCATGTCAATGGATTTGGTATGTCCAATTGTCTGTTGAGAATTGAGAGAGTTGAAAACAATGGACCTGTAAAAGTGTAAACCCAATAGACAATATGCTTTTTCTTTTGTAAAGTCATTGACATTGTGTTGTTTGAATCCAAGTACAATTTATGATGCAACTTGAACTACTATGAACTACCATACTGTACTGTACATAATTGATATTTCAAAACTTTTACTTAAATTGAAAAAAACACTAAACTTTTACTGAAAAAAGTTTAAACACTAAACTGTATAAAATTAAAGTTAAAAACACTAAACTGTATAAAATAGTAATTGGACAAGTACTGGTGTAACACATTATGTAGCCTAAATAGTGAGGACCAGTAGTCCAAATTTGGTTAAGTTTTTACATTTATCTACTCTGACTCCTATGATGAACATGTATGCAAAAAACAAGGGAAGCTACGATTAATTAGATAGAAACTAAAATACATGGAATTTTTTATGGAACACGATAAAAGGCGAGGATAGACAGTAAGAGCGAGAGATTGAATTTGAAACTAAATAAAAGTGCACTATTTAAGCATTTATTTATTATGCCGAATATTGCGGGGGTTGAAATTTTTTTTGGAGGGGTGGACATTTTGTTGGGGGAGGGGGGGGGGGTTATAGCTAATAATACCCCCAGAAAATCTGTCTATGCATTCACGGCATATAAAGTGTGCTATCTTTGAAATATTGCATTTTGTTATAGCCCATGTTCCTGGTGAACTTAATCGAAAATCTGTTGCTGCTGCCTTCGACTGGGAATGCGAGCTTTATAATGAGCTACTAGACATGGATTTGGCAGAGAAATGGTCATTTACCAAAGAGCAGACTTGCTCAAATTCAGCTGGCTCAAAAGATGCTGCTGCTGAATTTATTGTGCGTAGCCAAGTTGCAACATCATATGATCATAAATGCTATGAGGGTTGTCAAAACAAAGGAATAGTAATGCACTGCAAGTTTATGGTTAATATGAATTGATTACACTTTCATTTTTACAAATCAGGGTTTAATTTCAAGTACCTTTCGTTTGGCATTTTGGCCAAATTCTAAAAATTGCCACCATGGATTTCATGAAAAAATCGAAAATTATATGCAAAAATTCTTTCTTCCCTTACAGGTTTGTGTGTGTGTGCATATGCCCATCAAATAGTATTAGATAGCATTTATTTCTTTGTACATAAAATACTTACAGTTCTAAATTAAATGATGTTTTATAAGGCTGTGGGAAGTTGTATGTGCTGGATTGGAATTGGAAACTGTGTTATGCACACAGCATGTTTCCTGTTCAAGTGGAAATTAGGGATGGGCCGATATCGATACCAAATACTTGATACTATCGATACCAGGGCTTTGAAGAAAAGTATCGATACTGGCAAGAAATATCGATTGTTTCGATACTTCTGAGCCTGCAATATTTTCTCATTTTGGTCAGCGGACTCGTCATGAGGATCCACTATAGCTCCATAACATGAAGTATATACCTGAAAATAAACGTGTTGAAAACGTATTTAACCAGCTTACCAGCGTGATTTTGCCATTTTGTCGTTGAAGAGATGATCGAACTTGAAGGTAATTTGCAATTTTAATTAGACTTTCAGTTCTAGTATTTTCTCATGTCCAAGAACACATACGCTAGGCTAAGCTTTCAATATGGAAACATTAAATCCGAGCACAATGTTCTCCGTGCCATAGTAGTTGAAACAATTGTTAATTCTATAGAAGTGTTAGAAATCTTGGAAGAAGGTAACTCGGCTGACGCTGACGCCAATTATGCCGCTGTTGATAGCAAGCGTCAGAGAAGTGCTGTTTGGGATTGTTTCCGAAAACTAACAGATGCCGCAAATACAACGGGAGCATCGAAGTGCAGCATCTGTTCTGAAAATGTTAAACATGGCAGCAACACGTCTAACCTTTTCAAGGTAACTGGGCGATTGATTGTAGAGAATCGTAGCTATACAACTTAAACTTAATTCCTGAACTACTAAAACGTTATTTTGGGTACTATTTATAACGGTTTCGAATTTTTTTAGCATTTAAAGCTGAAACATCAAGAGCAATACAAAGAAGCTGAAAAGAAAAGAAAATTAGATGAAGAAAACAATGCAAAGAAGCAATCTAGTAAAACAAAAAAACAAACAACAATCATAGATACCATGCTACATGGAAAATACTCATCCACGTGCACACGACGCAGGAAGATTGACGACGCGGTGTTGAAAATGATTACATCAGACCTTCAACCTCTATCTGTTGTGGAAGATGCAGGGTTTCAATCATTGCTACATTTATTGGATCCTCGATACAAGCTTCCGTCCAGAAGAACCATGACACGAATGCTACCTGATATGTATTCTAAACGAGTTAAAGAGATTAAGCAGGAGCTTGAGCAGATATCACATGTTGCTCTCACGAGTGACCTATGGACATCAAGAGCGACAGAGAGCTATCTCACCGTTACTTGCCACTATCTTACTTCTTCATGGGTGCTTCAATCGCGGGTTCTTGAGACTTTCGCATTCAAATCAAGCCACACTGCTGAGAATATCGCTGCATCATTTCTGAGAGTTGCAAAATCATGGGAGATATCAGAGAAAGTTGTTGCAATGGTAACAGATAACGCTGCGAATATTGTTGCTGCAGTTCAAATAACTGGTTGGAAACATGTCAAATGCTTCGCACACACCCTGAACCTCGTAGTCTCGGAAGCAATCAAGACTGATCTGATCAACGGTATAAGAAAGAGATGCAGACAAATTGTAACATTCTTTCATCAGAGCACAAAAGCCACGGATAAGCTGAAGGAGATCCAAGCTCAAGCACAAGTTCCTGACCACAAGCTCGTCCAGGAAGTGGATACAAGGTGGAATTCTACATTCTACATGTTCGAACGCATCATTGAGCAGCACGAAGCCGTTATGACCACACTTTGTCTCTCGAATTGCAATGATCTATGCTTCTCTATCTCGGATGTGGAAGTGCTCAAAGCTGCAGTGGCTATTTTGAAGCCGTTTGAGCGCGTCACAACAGAGATATCAGCCGATCAATATATCTCAATCTCAAAGGCTATACCCCTTGCAAAGTCCCTCCAGCATTTAACCTCAGCAAGTATCCACAAAGATACAACCCTTGCTTCTGAGATGAGTGCTCAACTGCGTCGACGTTTTACAGGCGTGGAAAATGTCCATTTGCTAGCCCATTCCACTTTGCTTGACCCACACATGAAGAAGCTGGCCTTTTCTAGTTTTGTAGCTGCGCGACAGGGGGAGCAATGGATTGTCGAAGAGATGAAACAACATGTTCCTGCAGTTCCCACTGATGAACAGACAGAAGTAACAGAACAACAACGAGATGTCGGCTTATGGGATCTTTTCGATAAAAAAGTTGCAGATAGACAACTGCGAGCAACTTCAACCCTCACTATAGAGAGGGAGTCTACAAGATTCTTTGATGATAAACTCCTAGCAAGAGATAAAGATCCACTAACATGGTGGAAAGAAAATGAGAAAGATTACAAGATTCTCTCCAATCTTGCAAAGAAATATCTTTGTATTCCAGCTACATCTGTCCCAGCGGAGAGGCTCTTTTCGAAAGCAGGAGAACTTGTTTCAATCCGACAGTCTAAAAATGTTGATATGTTATTGTTTTTAAATAAGAACATGTAAACTTTAAAACTTTACTATCTAAATAAACTTAGGTAGTTGAGAGTGAGAATTGAGAAAGTACTGCTTATGGGACATGTTAGAACGTTTTAGACTTTAAGTTATTTGCATTAATTGGCACATTTGAAAACAGTATTTAATGTAGTCATTTTATTATTTAATGTTTATATTATTGTTAGCGTCGTTGCCGTTGCCAATGATTAAAAATAGTCTTTTGTTGTTGTGGTTGTTCGAGTTGGGAAAGTATCGATATCGATAAAAAAAGGGCAAATATCGAGGAAATATCGTATCGAATGAAAAAGCTGGTATCGCCCATCCCTAGTGGAAATTCTTGGATATGAAGGAGAAATAAATTATCTGATGTCTGCCCAAGGAGCCCTGAGTACCAGTCAGCCTTTTGTGACAGACATCCCCCCTAGTGAAACAAAAGGGGATCCCAACAAAACTGAGACCATTTCTGGATTATTGCCAGAGGAAAAAGAAAGGTATTGTAAGTTTTATGATTGCATACAGTGAAGACAATATCATGGTTTTTTTTTTAAATTTCTCAATGACAGCTGTAGTTTTTATAAACACTTCCTCAATAAAACCAGTCAAGAACAATAGCGTAGCCAGCCTGATGATTTAGTCCCGCTTTGCAAATATTTTCGTGTTCATTGACTGTGAAAACAATTAATTTCTAAAAAAAAATTAATGATAATGTTTAGTTTACATATAGCGGGACTAAATTGTCGGACTGGCTACGCCACTGGACTCATGAAATGATGAAGATGTTATTCTAATTTTAATAGAACCCAGTGATGTACTCAAGGAATTAAATACTGAAATTCCTGATGTCAGTGAAGACAATGCAGCAGTATATCAAGGTGCAGTAGTAATAAAAAATCAGTATATAATACTTGAATGGCAATATACTGTGGTTGTAAGCATTCAGAATAATTGCTTTATAACTGATTAACCCATTAAGTTATAAGACTTCCTGTAAACCAATAAAGCAGGGCGCACTTGGGCCAGTCAATGGGTTAAAACATTTTACTAGCTAGTTGACCATTAATTTGAAGACCGTTTTGATATATATTTTGTTTAACTCGTATTTTAGGTACCAGGTCATTTATGGCTAGAAATCAAGCCATTGTTAAAGACTGAGAGGAACTGGAGGAAGTGCCCTGTAACAAGGATACTGTTGGAAAACCACGCCTACAGAAATGGTCAAGGGGTATTTTCATCATTGCTATAGCTGGTGGACATATCGAGTATTGGCAGCCTCTTTACAAGTAAGCAAAGACTGTATGGCTTTTATTATATGCAGTCGTTCAATCTTCGCTATTTAAATTTAAAAATTTGGTTGATGCTAAAGTAATGTGTGGCATTTTTCTTGTGCTATAGGTCCGAATCACCCACACAAGCTTTCGTTATCACCATTGTGTGGTTGCACAACAAATTCGTGGAATTGAAAAATGATGGTATGAATGATGAAGAGCTTTTTCCCGTGCTATGAAGGAAACCGTGCTAGCTTATGACAATATGTGTCATTTGGACTCTCTTTATAATTTAAATTTGAACTCTATGATTATTCGGACCTCGGTCAATGTTATCCGCCTCAGCTTCACTTTGGCAGATACCATTGACCTCGGTCTGAATAATTCTTGATGTCATGCGAAAGCCTCGTCCAACAATTGTTTATTAATATACATTGTAGTTTGTAAAAGCAATTTGATTGGCTAAGAGCTTACAGTTAAATCGGGCAATCGATATCACGCAACATACAGAAAATTCAGTTATTTGCTAGCAGATAATGTAGTTATCTGCAAATGAGCCTGCGATGATTAGCAAGCAGTACCTATTTAACACAAACAAATGTGTAATAACAGGTGGGAAATTTGTCTGCGCATGTGCTACATTTTGCCCGGTTTAAGAGAAAGAGACGTGGGGCGAGTAAATACAGTAATTTGATTTTTTAGCGTTTTATTTACGTTTTTGACTCGTTTTTTTCTGGTAACCAAAAAATTGTTAATCCATTGCATTGTTGGGAAGGCGAGGTAGGTATGAGAATGTCCACAGGCTAAAAATATTTATAAAATTGCAACTTGTGCATAACCTTATATATCGGAACTGCCTCGGATTCCAATAGAAATGTCCAATAATTCCTACTATTCCGTATTTTTAGATGAATGGATTATCTCCCAAAATAAAGTATATGTTTTAAGGAATAGTTTAAACCATATTTCATTTTGAGGCTCTCGGCTAGATTTTAAAATATTTTAATTGTCATTATTTTATTGTGCTAACCTTTCCCCCCATAAATCACCCCGTATCAAATTGGAGAGAGATGTAAAAGTATTCGCATGATTTCAAAACTGCTCATATTTTCTGAATCAATAGACGCTAATCGTTCAACGAATATGCTTTTACGAACAGGATTAGCAAACGCATGCAATTTCTAGTGGAATATTTAGAGGCACCTATTCAGACTACTACAGACTACATTAGACGGTTGTGCCATTTTTTATATCAACCCGTATTTTCATATGAACAATACTTTGATTAATGAATTAAGAAATCTTTGAAGAATCATTTAGAGATAGTCTCGTTTTCAGGCTCTCCGCCATAGTGTGGCTTTTAGTTGTTATTGTTGTTAGTAAAGATCACATGCGTCTGCGATCTTGTTCGCGCCTAGGCGACCTTTACTTCATGTTAGTATACTCTTGTGGCTTGTCTTGGCCTCGTTGTTGTTTTATTCATAACATAGTATTAAAGACTACCATTTAAAGTCGTCGTTTTAGCTTCGCTGTCGAGTGCCCTC